CCCCCTCCGGCGACATTCACATGTTCTTATGCACAGTAAAATTGATTTATCAATGTCATTCTCATAACTGTGCCTGAACTGCAACAGTGAACTGTTGCTTTTTCTTTCCTAATCCTTACTGTCGTCATTTTTCCTTTACTTCTTTAGTATGTTTGTCACACTCTTGTGATTCGCTATTTCCGGGATGCCTTGATAGTCGAAGCAGACTTTGTGCTGTTGAAACTAGAGAGGTGAGCAGAGTAAGCCTGATTCCCTGTAAGGACTTCTCTGTTGACATCCACCCCTTGACGCTCATATGACCTTATGTAGTTGTGAGCGCCGTAAAACCTTACTAAAACTCACTAAATAATTCACCATAATAAACAGTTCACCTTTTGAAATTCATAGGTTTACGACTTTGACAATACACGAAAGCTCACCTTTTGAAATGCGTTAATTTACATACAAGAGTGACATGACATAAAAGCACACCTTTTGAACTGGTCAAGTGGAGACTGCACCACAGACTGGAAAGGAGAACTGACCACTGAGGTGGCGCTGTTGGCAAAGTAGTGGAGGTATTTGACCAGTAGACGCACCACTTTCACTTGATTCATGGTGGGCATGAAGTGTTCCTGGGTAAAACAGAAAGAAGACGGTTCTTTATTTTCACACTTCAAAACATATCCTTTCATTGCAAGTGATAACCAGCCTCCCATGACCACAAAACCTGATATGGCATGCAGATTATAGCAAGCCAAATCTATATTTTCTACAACTCTCAAAGGGTCTAGATTGCTGGATAAGTTCCTTGGAATCAAACATATGGACATTTTTCAGCTAAATTCTTGTTTTAAGCCACAGCACAAGAGAAAACATCTCAATTTGATGTGTATTTTTGCTAGATCAATCAGAACATTTTGCGTTTGTCATGCCTTTTTGAAAATGTCTTCGGTGCATGGGCAAAACGCCACAATTGCAACCCCTAATGAATAGGTTTTCGCAAAGCAAAAAGTAATGGAGGGTACAGTAAAAAAAGATAAGCAAGATTTAACCTTCAAAGAGGAAGAAAATGAGGTAGGTAAAATGTCTACAAAATGAAAAGGTGAAAAGAGGCTGAGGGCAGTGCAAAGTTATAATTTTCCATTTTTTGCTGACTGACCTTGTGAACCCTGCCACATGTGACAAGTCATAACACAGTGGAGCAGTGGCATCTTATCAACAATTTCATTGATCGTACGATTACACCAACCCCCCGGGGCAGTGCCACTGAGTGTAGTGTCTTTAGGCCATTCCCAAAGGGGGACATTTCTCGTTCAAGCATAGTAGAATTGTAAATGGGCTGACTCATGTCAGGCTCATAACTGTGCCTGATCTACAACAGGGAACTGCTGCTTTTTCTTTCCTGATCCTTACTATTGTCATTTTCCTCTACTTCTTTTGTATGTTAGTCAGCCACCCACCCCTTGGCGCTCATATGACCTTATGCAGTTGCGAGCGCCGTAAAACCCTCCACTATAAAAAATACATAAGCTGTTTGGGGGGGGGGGGGGGGGGTTGTTGTTTGTTTGGTTGGTTGTTGTTAGGTTTTTTTTGGGGGGGGGGGGGGGGGGGGGGTTTGCTGTTTTTTTAAAGAGACTTTTACAGCACCTGAAACCCAATTGAGTGCAGAAGATGAGAGGAGCTACTAGTGTTACTAGAGAGTAACACACAAAGAAAAGAAGAAAAAGAGATGAGGACAATAGAATAAATGTTGAATAGGAAAGGAGGGGGAAAACAACATCAAAGCACCCATCAACCACCCAGGGTTCTGGAGCACATCTCAATGGTTCACAATTCACAGACCATTTTGTCTGGTCGCATGGTTATAGAAAACTATGTAATTGTCTGTGTCCGGGGCACTTTTGTTATGTACACGTAATATTGGTTTTACTCAACACTTTACCTATCATCAGAAAACTACTCAACTATTCTCCTATCATCAGAAAACTACTCAACTGTTCTCCTATCATCAGCAAACTACTCAACCGTTCTCCTATCATCAGAAAACTACTCAACTATTCTCCTATCATCAGAAAACTACTCAACTGTTCTCCTATCATCAGCAAACTACTCAACCGTTCTCCTATCATCAGAAAACTACTCAACTATTCTCCTATCATCAGAAAACTACTCAACTGTTCTCCTATCATCAGAAAACTACTCAACTGTTCTCCTATCATCAGAAAACTACTCAACTGTTCTCCTATCATCAGAAAACTACCCAACTGTTCTCCTATCATCAGAAAACTACTCAACTATTCTCCTATCATCAGAAAACTACTCATCTGTTCTCCTATCATCAGAAAACTACTCAACCGTTCTCCTATCATTAGCAAACTACTCAACTGTTCTAAGCCCAGACAGCAAAATTTTTCAGAAGACAGATAAAAAGATTTCACTCTTTTAAGAACTGTATCTACATTATGTATCTCTTCCTGCTTTTTTCAGCATATAGAATTTGAATTTCAACCATTTAGAATTTGAATTTCAACAAGATACTTCTCGAGCACACGAAAACGATACCACATCTTTAAAAAACTGCAACTTTTTAAATTTTCAAAATTTTGGGCTCAGCACATCTGAAGAGCTGGCCAAAGCTCTCAATGTTGAACTTTTCCACATGGTAAGCATCAAGTCAGCTGCAAGGAAAAACACTATGTTCATTCCCCAAGCCTTCTAGCAGGACATATTAACCTGGTTAAAGTGGTGGGGGCAAAGCAACAGCCAAGAGCAATGCCGGAAAAATGATTGAAATGAACATGTGCAAAGGGTGCTCCTGACAGAGAATGTACGCCATAGAAAAACAATTTTCTTTTGAAAATTACCCAAAAAACCACCAAAACAGGCTTTTAATTTCTTTTTCTTTCCTTTTAGTCAAGATACAGTAAACAGGGACTATCTGTAAAGAAATTCAAAAAGTAAGTTTTTGGAACCCAAAATTCAAGCCAGTGGCATACAGATATTTTTTTTTCCTCATAAAGTTTCATAAAGGATGATTTGATATAAAATGAAAACACTTTCATGCCAAAATATAAATACTTTCTTCTAAAACACAAAAATATGCAAAACAGTAAAATATATGGTTTGAGTGCTGGGAGTAAAGAAAATGCTACATTAGGTTCACAGGCTCATGAGTAAATATTGTGTCAATCGAGACACAGAACTCTTATTCATGTTTAAGGAGAGGACAAAAAAAAAAGAATAAATAAATGCAGGTTCATAATAGTCAAAAATTTGTAACGGGAAAATTTCAGCAAAAGACCATAAACTAGTAGACGAGAAATAGAGTGACATCACTGCCTTAGCTGCCGACTGATCTTCCTGGTCATCTCTGACTGCCTCATGCGTCTCAAGTTGTGGGGAGTCTCTAAGAAAGTCTTAGTGTTCCAAGTAAATATTCAGAACTAATCAGTTTTAATGATTAAAGCACTGAAACATCAGTGTTTTTATCATATTAATACACAGGACATCTGTTTGATAAAATCTGACGCCCTTTATTATTCTTAAGATGGGAACTTTAAGTAGAACAAAACGGTGACTTGACAGGGCAACTGGGGTCTTTAGCTTTTAAAAAGTTTTACAGAACTTGCAACGCAATTTGATCATATAAGTGCCGAAGACTAGAGGTTTTACGAGAGAGTAGCAAACACAAAAAAGGAGGAAAGATAGAACGATAGATGTTTGATAGGAAAGAAGGAGCAAACCACATCACAGCATCTGCCAACCACCCACAACAGGGATCTGGATAAATACTCAGTTACTAAAATTGACAATACAAAAATATTAAAGATGAAGTCAGAAAAAAAAGAAGTAATGGGATAAAGTAACAGAAATAGGAGTAGGAATGGCAATATCCCGGAAAAGAAAAAAAAGGAAAATACAGTAAAGCAACAATGTTGTTGTCGATCTACATTTTTTTAAAACTCCCATCGACACTAATTAGATCATTCATCATCATCAGATGGAAAAACTGAGATACTCTTCATTGTACACATGACCAAATAAGAACACATGAAAATTATTATAGCAGAACTGTCTTTATGAAAAAAAATGTTTATGTTATGGATATAGGGTTACAAATACTTACATTTTTTTAATACCAATAGACAAATAAAAGATGTCAAATGTCTCTGACTGAGAATTTTGCATTATTGAAGAGTATAGGTCAAACGTACCAAAAAAAAAATTCTATCTAATCTATAAACAACGCTCCATCAAATAAAGTACATGAGTGCAAGATCCCATATAACAAAAGGAGACTACAGGGGACAAACGATGGTAGGCACAAAATGAAAATCGTGGGGGTACCAATTTTGAACGCTTGTTGACTCATAACTGTATTTCTGTTCAACTGTTGGTTGATTATTGTCGTTAGATTTGCCATTCAGCAACATTTAACAATAAACCACCAGTCAAACAAATATGAAGTTATCTTCTTCTCGATCGCATCACACTTGAAGTCTGGTATCTGTCATAAATTGGGCCGTCCTGCTCAATTCATCTGTCGGCCCGTATAGCTTCTCTTGCAGCGTCAGTGGGGTTGGCCACGTTTCCTGTCTCAGGGCCCTGTGTGTCTTGCAGTGCTGAAGGATGTGTTCAACAGTTTGGTCTGCCTCTCCACACTGGCATTTTGGTGATTGTACTAGTTTAAAACATTTGTACATATGTTGTCTCAGTCCTGTGTGTTGTGTCCTTAGTCTGAAGATAATCACTTGTTCTTGGCGGGACAGCTCATGGTAGCCACCTGGTGTCTGAGGTGCTTTAAATAGTGTATTTATAATAGTTTTTATTTCTGTGTAGTTAACGCTGTTGTCTGGTTGCTCTTTCTGTGCTCCTAGTTTGGCCATCCTGTCTGCCTGCTCATTTCCTAAGACACCACAGTGTGATGGAATCCACTGCAGCATGATCCTCAGACATGGGATGTCCTCAATTTCTTTTCGTAGCCTTGGTAGTTTGCCGGAAGTGATTGCCTGCAGTACTGACATGGCATCTGTTAGGAACACTACTTGGCTTTGGGGGTCCACCACATTCTTGATGATGTTTGCTGCATGTATTAGAGCCTCCGTCTCTGCCCTGCAGTTTGTACAATGTCGCCCTGTTGGGACTGCCTCTGCTTGTCGTCGTCCATTTGGGAATTGTACGTACACTCCGGCTCCTCCTCTTTTCACAGCATCAGTGGCATATCCGTCTGTATAGATCCTTATCCATGCTTCTCGTGGGTATCTTGTTCAAGCATGGACAGGGTGAGGGACTTCTTGCTCAGGTCGCTGTGGTCATCTTTTGTGGTGAACATTGGAATGGACGTGTGTATAATTATGTTTGTGTTTGTCATTTCCCATGATGGTGCCTCTGGGGTGTGGTTCAGCATGTTCACTGTGGCCGGTAGATGGTCCTGTAGAACGATAGATGTTTGATAGGAAAGAAGGAGCAAACCACATCACAGCATCTGCCAACCACCCACAACAGGGATCTTGATAAATACTCAATTACTAAAATTGACAATACAAAAATATTAAAGATGAAGTCAGAAAAAAAAAAAAGAAGTAATGGGATAAAGTAACAGAAATAGGAGTAGGAATGGCAATATCCCGGAAAAGAAAAAAAAGGAAAATACAGTCAGTAAAGCAACAATGTTGTTGTCGGTCTACATTTTTTTAAAACTTTGGATTTGGATTTTTCTGCTTTCTTTGATGAAGTTGGACCTTTTTAGTCTTGTGGTGTTTGATCTGGCTGTTCTTGTGTGCAGTATATGATCCTCCATAGCTGTGGCCTTGGTGTACTGTATGAGGGCCTTGCATTCTCATCTCCTCTTCAGGACCACTATAGATGTTGTTTGTTCCATATGAAGTTATGAGTCCACAAGCTTTTAAAATTGGCACTATCACAATTTTCAGTTTGTGACTACCGTCGGTTTTCCTTTGTGCTCTTCAATATCTTTAAAAAATATGTATTCCTGTAAAACACAGAAAGGTTCTATGTGAATGCTATTTTTTAATTTAAAAATTATAAACTACAATACAGAATACAATATCAACCATGCAAACTAAAAAAATAACCAAATAAAAATCCAAAAGATGACAAAAATGCCAACACAAACCTACTTCAAATGACCTTCCATTGTAAGACTGTTAAAAAATTGCTTTCCTGGTAATTGTTATTCTGTATCTTTTAAAAAATGATATGTAGAAAGTAAGTTTCCGACAGGATTTCACTGTGTCAGGTTTCTTCACAGATGAGTTGAAAATTCCCACCCTTATCAATACTGCATGGGTGATGGATTGAATCTAGGTGGTTCGATTCAGTTTGTCACAATCCTGAAAGCCTCACTGTATCATAGAAAAATTACGTTATATGAATCCATGCAACAAATTCTACATTTGTAGCAATAAATACCTGTCTTGTATTCATATGCCTGCATTTGGGCTTTGAGCGGTCCGAAATTTGGCAAATATGGTATTTTATTCCTGACTACCAGTCTAGGTTGTGTCTGCAATTCCGCTTTAAAAGTCCTGTTGATGACGAATATATATGCTCGCTCTTCCTCTCTGCAAGTGAAATTGCATTCCTTGGCTTTACCTAGCGAGGCGATGTTCATGTGAAAATTTGAACAAAACGAGCAACTGAGCAGCGATGACAAAGTAAACGACACCAGCACTTACTGCGACGATGTGTCCCAGAATCACAGGTCCTTCAGAATTGGATGGAGCAAACCACACCAGGCACCCACCAACCACCCATCTCTTACATTGTACAAGGTCTTGGCTTTCTACAACACAAACTATTAGTGTACAACACTGACAACATAAAAGAACAAAGTGCAGTATTCTAATGCATGCTTCATCGATACATCCATGAAAAGAAAGCAACAAGTTATTCTTGTTAAGACAATCACTCAATTTTCTCAACATATATGCAAACCAATGACCCAATCTACTAAACATGCAAATACACTTTCGTCTGTAACCAGAGAGGTAAGTAGCCTTCTACTTTAGTTTAACTGAGAGTTTTATGGCACTTGCAACACAATAAGGTCTTATAAGTGCCGAAGATTAGAGGTGTTACAAGAGAGTAACAAACACAAAAAAAGAAGTAGGGGAGATAAAACTATCGATTTTTCTATTAGAAAGAAGTAGCAAACCACACGAAAGCACCCGCCAACCACCCACTGGCCTTCTACTCAAAAAAGAAATTCCCTATGAAACAAAGGGACATTGAATCACAAGACTTGTCAGGAAGATCACATCAAGATCACTTGGTCCACATTCCTGGCTAATTGACTCTCACTCGATATAGATAGGAACTTGCAGTTGCACCATTATAGCCAACACAGATTATTTAGTTTTACGACGTTTGAAACAGCGCAACAAGAGAGTAACTAACATACAGAAAAAAGGAGGAGAGATCAGGACAATGGACGTTTGTTCGGAAACAAAGAGCAAACCACTCTACAGCACCCACCAACCACCCATAACACACAGCATAAATTAACAAAGCTTGTTTAAAAGACATCTATTACTGTTAACAACTGACTAGACTATACTGACAAATTCACTTAACGATTCATCAAAATATAAAAAAAATGCTCTGAAATGATACCTTCTTGCTAACTGAGCACAAGATTCAAAACAGTCAAAAATACTGCACACTAAGTGCAGACCACCAGAAACACTGCTATGAACACAATATGAAAAATAGAAAGAAGACAGAAAAGAATCAAAACTAGGACAAACACATACTGGCAGGACAAAAGCAAACAACATAATGCCATGACAATGTACAAGATAATAATCATAAATGTTTAAATGCACACACAGCGAATGAACTAAAATTTGATATGCAACTAACACTTGAAAAGACATCACCAGCAACCCAAATGTTAATTTAAAAAAGCCATTTACACAGTCAATGCATTCAACAAGCAACAATTATATCCTTTGCCATGCTCTGCTCAAACGTAACAAAAGCAAAACAATAATTCTTCACGAACACCACAGCTTTTTGGAAGTCCCAAGCCTTTACTTCCCATGATTTTACATTATTATGGCACTGTGTAACACGACCACCTAATACAGCAACTTTTCTCAACAATTGGTGGCCGTCTTACACAGTTTCGACTGTATTCCCATGTTTAAAATAGCAGAGAGCCTCTGTGTGTTTGTAACAAATCAAACTAAGACATTTTTTTTTCCCTCCAAAACTAGAATTCCACTGTTCATTAAACCATTCTCCAGCCTGACAACACAACTATATCAGACCCCAGCTCAGGAGTACACCGTACAAAGACATAATTTTATCAAAGGGGACTATTATATTTACACCTAAGGGCAAGCAGCAACGGTTTACAAAAACGACAATACCTCAGCTCTCCATCATTACAATTATTCATTTCACGATAAACACTGTCAGGAAAATTGTAACTGTTACCTACTCCCCCCCAAAAAAAAACCACTTTAATTTGGCCATTCAATCCAAAAGCTGCAATGTCCATCCACAGGGTGTATGAAGGGTGTAAAGCAGAAAAAAGAACCAGCAGAGTCTCAAAACCACAAATTTTTATCAAACATTGATTGCTCAGAGTAAGACTGCCACACGTCACTTTCCAAAAAGGGGTAAGGCAGAGTCTTTCATTGAGCAGTTTATAAGTCTTAACATAATTAACATAATGTCCATCACATAAACTAATCATTCAATACTACACAACCAGATGACATGAAACAAACAAAAACTTTCAGAAAAAAATGAAGCTTCCAAAAAAACCAAGATATTCCTTTAAAATCACACCCTCCTCCACATCACACCCTCCTCCAGACAAAAGCTGATTATAATATAAAAGGCCACTACTACACCCACTGAGGCATTGGTGAGGACTTCTTTTTTTTTTTTAATCGACGAAAAGAAAGAGAAATGCATGCAACAGGGAAAGGGATACACTACAGGAAATACATGTGGGAGAAATGCAGTTCATAAACAGACTTGGTTTACTTACAAAGATCAACTTAAAAGGATCTCTACGGTAAACTGTTGAAAACTAAAACAGAGAGGAAAAAGAGGTAATCCTTCAGTATTTTGGGGAGGGAGGTTATCACTCAAGTCATAAAACTAAGTTAAAGAATGATTGTGTCAAGTACAATCCGGTCAAGAACCAGCAACGTTTTTAATTCATAAAACATATCTACAAGAGACAGGGAAAAGCATATTATCCATTCATTTTCTTCAGATTCAGTCAATAAACACAATCTGAGACGTACTGTAGCGAATGTGCCTGAGGTAAACATGCCTTTAAACACGATTACTAGTATGAGGAGCTAGTTGGTATCATTACTATCCAAACACACACATAATTGTTTAAGGTACTATTTAAAGCTAAAAAAGGGTGGGGCTATAAGATATGATCACTATGCACTCACATAATTCATACACATCTAGAAAAAAATAAAATTAAACAGTACACTATATTATAAGATAAACAGAAGAAAAAAAGACCATCAAACTCCTTCATGAAAGAATGATCCCAGTCACTGTTTCCAACAATAAATGCTGAAAATCTCAGCTCTTCATCACCCTAACCTAAGTTGAATTGATGAGAATAATCTTCCAACCCTCCTCCTCCTTTTGATCCAAACCCCTTCCCCCACCCCACTTAAACAGCTTTTTTTTTACTCAAAAGGTTTATTTTTCCATCAACACGGGAAAACTTGCAAGCCACTGCAAAAGCAGGAAGCTGCAAAGTAAAGAAAATTGAAAGCATTACTTTGTATTTGGCTCAGGACAATCCTCGTAGCCTCAACAATTAAGATCAACAACGAGTCTATCATTCTGAAAACAGACTTTAAAGCAACTGAAACATAGCAACTCAACACCAGAGAGGTGCCAGCCGGCTATGATAAAAATTCCAGAACTTTACGTACCCCATTGAAACATGTACCCAAGACTCAAAATTTATGGACCATTTGTGTGTGTGCCTGAAGAAAGGTCCCAATTGTTGGAGATTTTGGAATATTCAAATAAGGGCATATTCTTGTGGCAAATTCAATGCTGAAAACGCTGATTTAAAAATTTTTCACATATCTTGAGTAGTTTTAAAAATATGCCACGTTTTGTAAGACAGGGTGTAAAAACAGTTTGGAGTATTATCTTCACTTCCGTAAAAGTATGAAGTTAACATGAAGAACTCCAGGGGCTGAAGTCAGCTGAAGTGTTACAGATGCATAACAAATGCTGCCGCTAAGGAAATGGATGGATTCATGCACACTGAGATTGACATTGTAGGGGAGATAATGAAGAAAATTTATAACATGATGGGATTTGATTGGAAAGTTGTGTCAAGAAGTGATCAAATAACCTTAGTATGTTGACCCAATTTCTAGCACATTTTTAAGCTTTGGTGAAATACAACACGCTGCAAAAATAATTAATTTTAAAAAATTTAGACTTAAAATAATATACAATCATTTGAACATGTTACTAAGAAATGGTTAAATGTGATGCAGCGTGGTGGATTAGGCTCTCGTCAATTTTTGGGCATGTAGAGTTATTGGTATCATCTTAAAGCTTATTCACTTGTCTTTATTTGGATGAAAAAAAATATCCATTTATCTTTTATACAAGTCAAGATATTTGCGAAAGAAGGAGGTGGGGGTCACCTGTTTTCAGAGATAAAATTAGTGAGAAAATGGCCGCCAACGATTAGTTATTTCCTTAGCTTAAGAGTCCGTGGTAACTGAAAATTTACATTATTGTGCCTTTAATCAACGCTTTTCAGAAAAATCCACATGGAAATGAGTTCTTAAATAGGCATGAAAGGTGTTGAGCGAAAAAACAAAAATTTGATAAAAATTCACCACCCTTCGGAAAAATGCAAGTTTCTTCACTTTGATTATTTTGACGAGAGCCTGATTCCACCACGCTGCCTCACAAATGTGTTTTCTGAGGGAATTAAATTTTTTGACCAGGTACGACATTTTTGCCTTTTAACCCCGTTGCTCAAAAAAAACTTTGTCAACAACAGGGACCATTCTACACGCGCACTGACATATTGTCCAACGTATTTTGTATCAAGACACTGTGACAGTAGTCCCAAAATCTGAACAATTTAAGAAATTCATATTTCTGAATTTATCCGGAAAATTAGCACTTCTAAAACTAATTCAACTTCAAACTTCCAACACCAGAACCGGTATTTAGGCCTAGCAGACAGTCACATATTTTTCCCCTCTAAAACTGCTTCTGGAATCTAAACATTTCACTTTGAGATATTAAACAACGAACCACACTCATTCTCTCCAAACTGCTACATGACAATAGCAGAGGAATTCTCAGAGTCCAAATTCTAAAGGTGGATAAATAAAATCTTCTTATCTCATTTTATCCCTTACCACCACTGGAATAAACATCTTCAACAAAAATGCCCAAATCGATCCACAACATAAACATTGATTGACATAAAATGAGTAATGGTGTTTTAGAAACAAGCACCTATAAACAAAAATAAAACCATCATATTTATGTTCATTTCCTGAGACGTAGAAATTAAATCATAACACACATGAGATAAGCTTACTGACCTGCAATCCACCACCAAACGACATGACCTCACTGCCACTGAAGGAATTCTGATTCAGCCAAAACTCTGTGATCACCTGCAGGAAAAGGAAAATAAAGAATGGAAAGATTTAAAAACTCTTTCATCCATGGAACACGGCGTCACTTTTCGCCCGATTCTGTTACTTTTAGTTCGCGTGACTCAGCAGCCCGCCGGAGCTCCCCGGCTCGGGGTCACGGGGTTAATGAGCCCTGAAGCGACTTTGCCGGTGTCGGTCAGGAAGTTCGCATTTTTGACTATGTTTAAAACAATATAACTTCTTCCCCATCCCACATAGCAAACCATTACGCGGATGTACTAAAAGCTCAATGTCTTGAGATTTATTCTGCGTTAGAATGGTTAGTTTCTGTGCCTTAGTTTTTGTTCTAGACAAGTGTTTGTAGAGTACCCAATTTGTCCTATTTTAGTTACAAACTTATGAATAAATGATTGTTAATTTTAAAAATGCACGACAGATCTCTTCAAAATTTGTGTTAAACTGACTAGGAATATCATGTCTTTTACCATGAGAAATCTTAAATCTGCGTGAGTAGTAATAGTCAAGTTATAACAGAAGAAAGATGCACATCTGCATTTTTTAACTAAAGACGATCAGCGTTAGCTCTTATTTTACTATTAAACAAGAGAAAGTTACTCTGCGTTTGTTCATGAATCATGCTGTGTCTGTGGCAGCCTGCAAACAACTAAAAAGATATAATATAAGCGTTTAAAAAAAACACAAAAGCGTGTAAATACATGGGTATAGATAAACTTCTTGTATGAAATAAAAATAAAGACAGCTAAAACATTCATTCTTAGTTTTTGTGTAGGAAATATGCGCAGACACAATTATGAATGTAAAGAAATCAGTCATATTGTCAGTTATTGCAAATGGTCATAGAAACGAAAAAAAAGCTGGAAAAGTCTGGTGCTGTTTCAGTGTCCCTGGAAAGCTAGAAATTATTCTTATAACCCAGTTACGAGAAGTCATCCCTATTATTCAGTCAACTCACAAAACCTAGACTAAGCGTTTTAAGAAAAGTAAGGAATTTCTGGAGTGTAACAGATACTGTTCGTGTATTAGATCTATGTTGAAGATGTATTCTAGCACTAAAATCGATTTGTACTTTTCATAGAGAAACTTCATGGAAACTTTTATAAACTTTCGAGGAAATATGTGAATATTCACGATGATATTAGACACATAAAGTTGTATTTGGAGGAATTACTTCATAGCGAATTGTGTGCCCGATGAATAAAATTGTAAAATAACAGCCTTCTATTACAAAACCATCTTTTCTGAGTATCTGCACCAATGTTATGTCGTTCATTTTCCATAAGTTCGACAGATTTTGACGATGCCTTTTTTTTATATTCATTTTTTTTCATTCACGCTAGTAAAAAAAAAAATTACAATTTAGCATTGCCGACTCCAGCGCATCTAACGAAATAACCAGACAAGTTACAACGTCCGTTCTTTTTTGAGTCTCAAGAGCAGAAATGCGTGCTTTGGGTGCATTTCATGAGAATTACCATAAATTCAAGGATACACCTTTAATTGTACGTTGAAAAGTACCAAAAATTAGGTCGGCCCAGACAGAGCGGCGACAGGGAGCTGACCCCCGTGACCCCGACGTGATAAGGCGCCAGGCGGGGAACCCCCCGCGGCAACTAAAATTCCACTGCCGGTGCGCCGTGGGAATTTTTTCCACAACAGCATATAACAATAATATCGGGAACACCAAATTTTAATTTTAGATATTTAAAAACCTACATGGGACAGTTACAAATAAAAAACAACTAGGAAAAGACCTACACAGCCCCTGGGTCACTTAGATCAACATACAGGCCTTAAATATCTTGGTCTCACAGGAAAAATAAAAGGCAAAAAGAAGCTAAAGTAGACTAAGAATAAGTTACTTAGTGAACGGGAACAGACAGGTGATTTTGGGAGGGGGTGGGGGAGAGAAGACCAGGATAAAATAACGCTTTTTTGAGAACATGCGAGAAGAGAAATAAGTGGTGAACAATGATTGCTGATGTCTGTTTCAGATCTGGCCCTTGAACAGGTATGTGATACACGTGCACTGGTTATTCGTCACAAACCTCTTCCTACTGACACAGCTTCTTATTCTTATAATCACTGTGAACCAGCTTGTTTTGTTTTAGTAGAGGTTTTACGCCACTCGCAACTGCATAAGGTCATTTGAGCGCCAAGGGGTGGATGTCCACAGAGAAGTCCTTACAGGGAATCAGACTTACTCTGCCCACCTCTTTAGCTTCAACAGCACAAAGTCTGCTTCGATTATCAAGGCATCCCAGAAATAGCGGGTCACCACAAGAGTGCGACAAACATACAAAATAAGTTGAGGAAAATAATGATAGTACGGATTAGGTAAAAAAAAAAGGAGCAGTTCCCTGTTGTAGTTCAGGCACAGTTATGAGCATGACATTGTTGGATCAGCCCATTTACAATTCTACAGGGCATTAGAACGAGAAATGACCCCCCCTTCTGGAATGGTATAAAGACACTTCAATCAGTGGCACCGCCCCGGGGAGTGTGAACCAGTTTGTTAAACAAGTCAAGGAATGAAAGATGTATAAGCATGGCAACGCAAACCATCTGTGGCAGCCAGAATGCCAGATACCAACATAAAATGGTAGGTGAGGGAAATATGTAATTTAGAACTCAAAAACACCATAGCAGTTCCAAAGATAATACACGGCGTACAAACAGCGCTCTTTTAGTTGGATCGGCGATGGAGTGACCGGGTCACGGCGGGCCGGTCACCCATAGGTCACTAACCCGCCCTCCCACTACCTGCGTCGGTAGCCGGTGAAATGAATTTTTCAACACATGTTTTATCGTCTTACACAAACAAAAAATATCATACGTGAACACAAGTTTGTTCTTTAGAGAAAGCAACTAAACCTCTTTATTGGTACGAAATAGCAATACCATGGCTGCTCACGTATTTGAGTTAGATGCTCTTAAAATGTATGTCTATTTATAGTTAGTCAAAACAACAAACACATATTAAATGGCTAATAACTTATAAGCCTAACGATAAATATTTACAAAACTGCCACGTAAGACAGGAAAATGTGTTTAGAAATTGACTCACTCAAAATTTTGTTTCCAGCACGAACATGGAACTTGTCATGAGCATGATAGCCAAAACGCTTCCCTGCATTCATGACGTTTTGTATCCAATGGATTGTGTATCCTCCTGAATAATGATATACTGACGTATCTTCAATATACAGCACCGATTTCTTTTCACAAAATGAACATGTACAGAATAAAACTATAAATTTAAACAATTTTTCTTTCTAAACATATCCAGCAGCACGCAATGAGGGAGCTATTTGAAGGAGATGCGACACAAAAAATAAAACGCATTATGTCTATCTGGTTTGGGATCCTCCGTACTCTGGCTTCCAGTTTTGAGATCGCTTGGTGGCTGCTTTCTGTGTCCTGTTCTCCTAAAAGCCCGAGAGCAAGCATGTGTTGTTGTATGTGTGGAATACAGTGTTGCTATGATATGTGTGGCTTTGGGGTAACTTTGCGGGGAAATAGCGTCTGAATGCGAACATGTAATTGTCGATTGCTAAGAGGATTACTGGAAGTGAAAATTGTTTGACTGGTTTGAGATGTGATATTGCAGTGTAAACATGGCTAAATCTTTCATTGAGAAGATTGAATATTGCTTCCAGTCCACTTGCTTCCTCAATTTTTGCAGTTTCGCGGGAGTATTTTCTTGTTTCTGTACAAATTGTGTTTGTTAGTTCCTTGCATACATGGGGATGGAGGGAGGTATGCTTGGGGTGTTTTACGATGTTAGCTTGAAATGGATCTCTGTATGCAGCCACCTAAGCGGTACCGACAAAACGGAGAAGGAATTCACATTTATGCTATTGTCAAACGCACACATGTTCCTACTAGTGTCAACTGTTTTTTTGCGGCATGAATTGACGTGGCGTAACACCATATCTCCTTTTAATAGTTGAAATCGCGGTAAAACACTTGACACAAATGTTAGCGGAATACGACTGTTCATTTTCGTCCTTCACATCAATCCCATAAACCAAGAGAATATCTCCTGCCATTGTCTTACATAATCGGGGCTTTCTGTACTTTTTTTGTTTGACAGTTAAATTTAAACGCCAACACACACGACCAAGTTCATTCAGAGACTCTATATATGCCTCTCATATGTGTGTCTGACCCATTGCAGTTTAACGATTTTTACCTAGGAACACAATTCACTAACTGATTGCCAGTCACTGCAAAGTGCTGGAAAAACAAAATTCACATCATTAGAAAATATGATTTGATGGCTATCACACCGCGCAAACAGAAATAAAGACCATCGTTCCATTCTCGAATGATTTGTAATTAAATTTGAAGAGATAACATTATTAACGGCGCTTCCGATAACTAAACACTCACAATTTAAAACTGTTATTATTCCCAAACGAATCTATGAAAACTGTTGAAACTTTCACATAATATCAAGAAGACGTAGACGAAGCGGAATTGGTGAAGAAATAGATTCTAGGGGTAGAGTGAGCATCATTTTACGGCTCATGAAATTAGGGGAAGAAACGCGTTCTGATAAGGACAAGATAGGACAGCGCTGTGCACGAGTTGACCCCGGTCAATCCCCGACTTGACGCGTGAAATTGCAGGTCACCTGCCACTAATTTATGGCCTACCGCGGGAGGGGCGGACTAACTAAAAGATCGCTGAGACGGAATTTCGGACGCCGTGAATAAGAGACAAAAAAATTTCTCTACTGAGTTTCACTAGTACGACAGACTGAGAAAATTTTGTCAATCTGTTGTATGAGAACTATACTTCATCTGGACATGCACAAACCTGCAGGAAAGTTTCAGACCTCCAAATCTCCGTCTCAGCCTGGTCATAGACGGGTATGCTCTGCTGATTTTGTTTCTGGGCCTGGAGGAAGCTGGGTTTGAACAAACTACGGCTTGACCCACCAGGTGAGCCATTTGGCGATGTGAACTGGGCCGAGGGAGATCCATATTGACGGCTGAAAAACGTTAGGAAAACAGAAGCGTATCAATTTACGGCTGACCACTAGACCAGCAAATTCACCTAAAAAAATCTGCTTTTACTAAGAGAATAACAGTTTTACGACACAAATCAAGTGTCTGTTAGAACAGCACATGCCCTTCTTGTTGAGAAAGCAAAAGAGCACATTGGTCTGATTTCATATCCAAATTCCCAAATAAGAAAACAAATTCCTCATTCCCAGCAAAGTATACATTTTATGAAAGCACTGTATTTCATTTCAAGAAGAAAAAAAATTTCACAATACAGTAAAACATGCCAAAAAAACCCAGAAAAGTTGTCTTCACAAAACAAGTATTATCTCCATTTTTTAAAAAAAACATAGCCACAATTCAGGACAGTGATACACATACAAAGACAGGAAAATATATAGCAAAAAAAAACAACAATACTACAAACCTGGGAGAGATTGATCCAAGAGGAGACCGAACCACATTGTTAGTGAATGGGACACTGGGAAGAGAACTCTTGTCACAAGGCAGGAAATAAGTCAAATACTCATCGATGATTCTCGGGTAGAGGAACTCGTAGAGATCACTCCAGCCCTGGTTGCGGGCCTGCCACACCGGACAGACCAGGGCATAGGCCAAGTGAAAGATGTACAACTCAAATGCATCTAAAATGTGAGTTAAGGTTACGAAGGGCCAAAAATAAATTTGAGCACATTGGCTGTCAGAGTTGTAGAGTAGAATTGTAGGTTAAGGTGAGTCACAGTGATAACAGATTTTGACCGAAAACATTAGGATCAATGTAATGTTTTACTTTTAGTAGTGAGAGTTTTACACCACTTGCAAGGTAATACAAGTGCAAAAGATTACAGGTATTACAAGAGAAGAATAAATACAAAAAAGAAGGAAAGAAGAGATAAGGACAATAGATTAGAAATGCTAAATGCTAATGGACCTCATGTATACGGCAAAATTCTGGTCCACATTTGTCGGCGTATTTTTGGAGCCGAATGGAACATAGGTGACTAACTTTCTCAAATTCGGTTGGCACTATTTCTTAATCAATATAAACAAAACTTGGCATCCAGTTAGAAAATATGGCACAAATGATATGTGGATGTTGAAGTTTGTCCACAGCTTGATTTTCAACATCAAAAAGGTAAGAGACCTATCTTTTCTCTACAGTCTCCTCAAATTTAAAAGTTCTATGTCAAGTAGTTGTTTAAAATTTATCATATATGTACCACTACCCCCCTGTCCAAAACAGCTTCGCACAGAGGCCTACCATTTTCCCCCGCACTCCTGCAAATCTACGTAACCTACAAATCAGCACATGATTATTCCGAGCCAGTTCATTGATCACTTGAAATAGGGCAATGGCAGGCGCATGCATCCAGGTGTTTTTCTCCCTGTTCCCCTGTAATATCGTAATGCGGGTGTTCGAGTCTCAAAGGAAAAAAGAAAGCTTTTTAACTGTTCGGCATGTTAATTGCATTGAATTATATTTCATGGTCAGCATGGTCAACAGTCATCAAAGAAAACTTTGCCATTATAACTCACTCCGCCAACATATTATATTCTTTACGATCCCATGATGTGATATGATGCTATCAAATAAAATGCTCTCATCCCGACACCCTTCTTTCTCAAAATCGTAATATGTACATGAAAATTTTAATTATTGCAAAATAACTACAAAATGGTTAGTAAATCTGACTGCAAAAATGATTTCTCCACCCAAAAACACATTGAGTAGCAAAGTGTCTTTCAAATGCCTCTATTCATAACTGAGATTTTGTCGATTTTCTTACAGAATCAGAAGTTACGTGGTCCACTTTTTGAAAATATTTTCCAATATTATGTGTCATCCATGTTTTGCTGCACTTTACAACTCGATAACTTTTTTACTTATGAATCGATTCTTTAAATGAAAAAAGCATAATGCTTTGAATAGAAAACCCTCTCTGATGTACCAAATGAAAAAGGGTTAAAGTGAAAAATCAGTTTTTCATTGGCATTGCTAAATAGATGTTTGATGAGAGAGAAGGAGCTAATCACACTGGAGCACCTACTGACCCCTACCTTATTTAATTTTAACAACAATTATTTAAACTTCTATTTAAGATAGATAGGGTTGGGTTTTTTTAAATTTAAACGAAGACAAATGAACAAGCTATAAAATAATATCTATAACTCCACAAATCCAAAAATTGACAACTACCTGATTCCACTGTATCGTGAAACAATTTTCAAAATTATAATAACATTAAAAAGGCCCAGTGTTCTTCAAGACCAGTTAGTCCCCATCGCCATCATTAATATTGCCAGTAAGAAGTCCAAGAACACAAAATATTCCTAGTGTAAAGGATACTCAACACAATAGCAGGAGAGCTAAAGTTGTGTCCTTGTAGCTTGTTGGCATAGAAACTGGGCACCACACCCTCCTCCAGCATTTGACGGGCAGGGGCCTGTCAACAGAAATATAAATAATGAAATATCTTCTTTGATTTTGCACCATCATACAGTGACGGATTAACAGTGAACAGATCAATACAATAGAAGAAAACTAAAAAGAAGTAAAAAGAACATACACTACCATCAGCTTTTGGCTCAGAATGTAAATGTTCACACAAATCTCTAACCCTCCTTTTAAGAATGATTAACAGTGAGGCAGATATTTCAATCCATAATGCAACCAACTTATATCAATGTATGAGAGACCGGCGCCTGTGATTAAGCAGGTAAGTGTTTCGCCATTGCATGCAGGAGACCCAAGTTCAATTGAACATCCATGTGGGGAAAACTTTTATTAAGTGTCTCTGTCTTTCTGCTGGGACATTGTATCCCTCTCAGCCCATGTTGGCCTTAACAGGCAAGGTCAAAATCCTCATAACCTCCTCCCCCTCCCACATGATCTAAATTATGTTGAAGGCGGTGTAAATACACCTTCATTTTAAAAGATTATCTTTTTTTTCCTTTAATTCCAAAGTATGAGACAACTATATCTTACTTTTTCTTTTCTGTGGTCTCTTTCTGTCTTTCACTGTGATGAAAACAACTGCTTCTTATATCATCGGCAAACTGCCTAATAAAGATCACAAATACAGCAGCTGTAATTCTTTTTCAATGCAGCTACTGAAAATGCCACTGCTCTTATACCAGCATCAGTGGGGTTCTGAAACTTTCTGATGTTACACGCAGAAGACACGACTTCCAATTCTCAAATGGTGAAGCTTTATAATCTAGTATCACCAATTGTCTGCTGAGATGCTGTATCCCACTAATTGACAGACCTGGTGAAAGTAGCCTGCCTTCTCAATGATTTAAATCATGTCAATGTGGGCCTAAAACGCTATCAATAACAATTAATTATCATCTTGCAAACAGCAAAACATAACAAAACACTCACTGGCAAACACTTGAAAGGAAACTGGTACACAGCCTGTGGATCTGCATGAAGACTGTTGACCAGCTTCATCAAGGGTCCCTCAGGCCCCAGGAGTCTCTGCAGTCTCTCAAACAGCTCCGGCTGTGCCCCCTGGAACACTCGGTCCAGCTGCCAGCCCGTGGTGGTCTCCAGCTCAAAGTCGAAGAGCTCGCGGAGGATTTGTGGGAAGGCCATTCTCAGCTCCTTCAGAAAAAAAGCGATTTTAAAAAATACAAGTTTGAAATCAGTTTAGTCCCCCCCACCACCACTTTTTCAACAAAAAGAGCTCTGGGTACCTCATACAGTGCATGTTTGATGATTATTTTTTTAATTTGGGGGGGGGGGGATCTTCAGTGATGTTTATATTTTACACTAAATTCAAGAAAAGGGGAGAAGTTGCCCTGATTGTATGCTTTCTGAGGTTGAAATTATATATATGTCATTATACCATTAACCTTTCAATTAATCATCTTTTAATCAAAAACAAAGGCTCACTAAATTCTTCTTCCACGTTCCTTACTTTTGCTTAGAGTTGGTCACACAGGTCCTGCTCAAATCAAAACGCAACTAAGTTTACTTATAAGGTCCACTTTCCTGTAAGAAATAGTATCTGTTGCCTTTTGGGCAACTGTATCCCAATTATGCCCAATATCTCATGTTACTCTGAATTGTCAAACTGGTCAAGAGTTTCTTCAGTTTCAGGAAAAATTCAATATACGAACGCCAGCTAGCGGTCAATTACTTAGTATGCACCTACTGATCTTCAACTTTCACTTAGATCTAAGAGTATAATAAGTGCAATTCATGTAAGACCTGAAAAATGTGTTCCTATCCTGCAAAATGATTAGCCCAATCCCATTTTTCCACCTACCTTACCATCAAAGGATGTGCAAAATATTCAAGACCTTTACCAATCATAATCATGTCAGCACATGAATAGTGGAAATCAAACCACATACTTTAAAAACTTTCACTTGAGAGAGTAAGGTAGGCACCTCATGGCCAACAAACCCTCAAGAGAGATTTCAATCTTCATCCAGTACATCAAGACACTTCAAGCAGAAGGCTAATGCTGAAAAGGCATTGGAATTGAATTGACGATTCTCTTTTAAAAGCGGACAAAGGGCACACGACCGACTCATGATAACAGAAATATAAACACAAACCTTGGTGCTGGTAGTGGCAAGGATTTCTTCCAATAGACTACACTGATAAAGCAAAGGCCGACCTTGAGCTGCATTCAGCCGTTCCTGAGGATGATTACAGAGAAAGTTAGATTTAAAATTGTATTGACAACAATGGAATCTTGCTTTTAAAACCATGAGGTAAAAGAGCAGGACAGAGGAAGCTCAAAAATGTACTTTAAAATAATTACCAGAACGAAATTGTAGAATTTTGTCGGGTCAGTATCTGAACTACAAGGCTGATTTATTTCTTTAAAGGTATGCACAAAGAGAACGCTAAAAGCGAGCACGTTGGGACAAGCGCTTGAAATGTTGTTCAAAATTCGCTTGTTGCGCACAAGAAGCACGCTCGCTGTATCGCGCCTGAGATTTCAACCGACGCTTGAAAAGCGTACAGAATCAAAAGTTATTTCTTTCTCGCTTGCAAGCGTGTACCTGGTGCTGCCCCCCATTGTTGTCTGGTCACGACTTGGGTAGGGCGGTATGCATTTTCTCTCAGTCTCAGTGACAATCGGACCGAAATGGGTGTCGAGTCTTTGATAACAGCCGTGTTTAAAATACATGCAATTTGGGACAAAAAGAAGGAAAAACCACGCAAACCGTTGTGAAACATGCTTGGAAAGATATTAGTGAAGAACTGCCAGTTGCACCAGTTCTTGGTTACCTTTGGTTCAATTTTTTAATATACTCGAATGTCTCTTCGCTCATTATCAGGTAGGACTGAAAATGTGAAGGGCTCCTTTTAAGTAAAGGAAACAAGTGGTGATGTTCGCCTTCCACTCGCCTCCTTAAATTTATCTCATGAAACCCCATTCTTTTGCGTTTTCCCTTGATCATTTCTGGCAAAACGTAATCGTTCGTCTTCACTCGAATCCACCATGGCGCCAAATGCCCAAGTTCTGATCAGTCGCAAGCGCTATTTGCAATCTTTCTATGCGTACACCTCAAAGACAAGCAAGCGCTTTCTTCACAGGCGTTCGCTTCATCGCGAGCAAGCGTTCTTTTTGTGCGTACCTCAAGACTTTATAATCTTAGAAAGAGAATAATTTATAATATATATCTGTATATTTTTACTAACAGCTAACTTAATAGAACAATAGTACTTGCAAGGAAATTTTATTGCGAGTAACTTTTTAATTCTAATTTTGCTCTCGAAAATATTTTATTTACTGCTACTTAGTACTTTAGTCGATATTTCCAAGATGGTCACAGTTCTTCTGATGACAAGTGGTGATACTCACTCCTGCAACTCGGGCATCATTAGTTTCATACCACATAATTAATCTTGACTCTATAACATAGCAACCTTTTTCACAATTTGTTTAATTTTATACAAAGTAATTCAACTAAATCTCTATCAAAATCCCCTAAATAATTAGGTAGCGTCAATTGCCACCGAGTGACACGGTGACAATTGACAAAAATTGACTTTTTGTCAATTGCCACCCAGTGAAGCGGTGTCAAGTCTGAAAACAACACTATCTTTAGCCTAATGGGTCAATTTGTTCTCAACTAATTCATTGGACGAGCATCTAGTCAAGAGCTAAGGCACCAACTTGGCGTGTTTTCAATGACCTTAGCCTACACTTTGGAGGAGAACCAACACAGGCAATTCTAGAAGTAGGTCACAAACTCAAGCAGAAATTCACGTTATATCGGGGAACATAAATCGGGGGACGGGGTCAGGAAAAGACACACACAGACACACACACACACACACACACACACACACACACACACACACACACACACACACACACACACACACACACACACACACACACACACACTCACACACACACACACACACACACACACACACACACAGAGGGACAGAGAGGCGAACGGCGAACGCACAACACCGAGCACTTGAGCACAATAGTCAATAAGCTAGATCTACCCACCAACGCAAAAGAGCTCCAATTTACTCGGTGGCAATTGACAAAAAGGTAATTTTTGTCAATTGCCACCGCGTGACTCAGTGGCAATTGACACTACCAAATAATTAATAATACTGCCCTCCAAAAATCAGATGAAAGTTTAAATGATACTGTTCAGCAAAAATGTATTCCGTATTAAATTTAATTATGAAACTTGAATCCATCTTGAATTGAAGTTTGAATAAATTAATACAAAAAAAGCCTTCATTTATAACTCAAACGTAAAAAGAGACCGAGGAAAGCATCTCTCATCTCTATGAGCAGTGTATCCTTCAGAGTTTTATACAATTCGAATGTCATAGAAATAAATAAGTTAACAAGATGTGGGGATCAGAAGCAGGCATTTTAGAATGAGACCAATAAAAAGGAGAGAAGGCTGAGACAGTGAACCTGCCTTTCATTTTTTTATAATTTGGTCGGTGTGGTCACAACCCAACGATTTATGACACAGGCAGGGAACTCAATAGCCGTTAGAGATGGAAAGCAATACATTTTTGGTGGGGGGGCATTGCTTGAAGCCAACTGGTTCCCACCTGACACAGTATTTTTTTTAAGCCCCACCCCTGTCCCCAAACTTAAAAAAAAAGGAAAAACTGACTTTTGAAAATAACTTTTCGTGCCCAGGAGTCACGTCAGTTCATTTTAAAGTAAGGGAAGATGACCATGAGTTACTAAAGATTCTTCCCCCTGGCCATTCGGCTAAGATCCATGTTGTTATCGATCCAGACCCAGAAAAGATCCCGCCTTTTCCTTGCTCCCGAGCACCAGGATCTTAGGCGGAGACTACTGTATTAGTTCTGCCCCCGGGGCGCCAATAATCTGATCATGATTCTGCCCCCCGGGGGGTGCCAATAATTTGGTCATTAAACCCCCATCCCCCGGATGCCAGATATTTATGTTCCCCGATAAGCGGAAGGAAAGAAGGGTAGTGCAGTTAGATTCTATTTTTTTGTGGGGGGAGGGGTTAAAGGGGGGTATTTAAGTTGGGGGCGGAGGGGAGGGGAGGAGGTTGGTGTTGTTTTGTTTATTTAATTTATTTTTTTTATAAATCTCTTTGTATTTTTTAATTCAGTTCATAGATATTCTAGATTTAGTTTTATAGATTAATTAGTTGTTATATTTAATATTTTTACTTTTCAATTGTCTATCGCAGTGGGTGGCTTGGAGACAAAAAAAAGTGAGTATGTGGGGGAGGGAGGGAGTGTATTTGAATGCATCAAACAATGGGTCGTCAGTTCAATTTATCCGCGGAACGAATAATGAATTGTGTTTCAGTTAGGAAAGCGTTCAATTCGAGTTTAAATTCTTCATTCATAAGAACTGAACGCATCGCAAAGTGTCAGCGAGGAGCCAGCACCCGTCATCTTGAAAATCAAAGTAGAATCTATATATAAGCTCCATCTGGAAACTGGAAACGGGGGGTCCAAATCCAAAAATGTGAAAATACTGAAGCCGGGGGGGGGGGCAGAATAATTACCAGATTATTGACATCCCGGGAGCAGAATAACGACTGCCTTTATTTATTTAATAAATGAAAGTGGCTATTCTCACCCGCCCGGAAGTTCTCGCAAGATCAACTCCTCCCCTCTTCTCTCTCTCTCTGTCTCTTTCTGAATACTGTTTATCGGTGTGGACGATCAAATTGACCAAAACAAAGTTAAAAAATGATGTTAAAACACAAAAGTAAATTAATTTGGTTGTCTACAAAGATGCTACGGCTATTTAACTTTTCGAATCGAGCCGAACTACGCGGGTCGCCATTTTGTTTTGCCCGGAAATTCTCGCGCTACTCCTCTCTCTCTTTCTCTCTCTCTCTCCACTGCCCACAGACAAAATTGTACGCTTTTAGTAGGCTACAGTTGTAATGGAACGTTTGTTCACGGCACAGAATTCTACAATTTTTCTGTTATCACAGTGTAGAATTCTGTGGTTTAGGGTGAACGCAAAATTTGGTGAACGCGCACCGGGTGAGAATAGCCACAAGAATCGCCTGCACTATTCTCACTCCGGGTGAGAATAGAGGTGGCCTTAATAAATTGTATGCCTAAAGTGAATTACTATACCACCTCCGCCCGCCCCCCCTTTCCCCCTTTCCTGGCCACTGCCCACCAGTCGTCCGAGAGAGACAGAGAGAGAGTAGAGTAACAGAAAGAGAGAGAGAGAGAGAGAGAGAGAGAGAGAGAGAGAGAGACAGAGAGAGAGACAGAGAGAGAGAGACAGAGAGACAGAGAGAGAGAGAGAGAGGGGGGGGAGGGAGAGTAGAGTGAGAGAAACAGAGAGAGACATAGAGAGAGAGACATAGAGAGAGACAGAGAGAGAGAGACAGAGAGAGAGAGAGAGAGAGAGAGACAGAGACAGACAGACAGAGACAGACAGAGCCAGAGAGACTGAGGCATTCGTTGAAAAATGTTGCGTTGTCTGGATGAATATGAGTTTCATGAAGTGAGCCTGAGTTAGGCCTAGATCTAGATCTAGATTAGATCTAGATCTTGATATCTAGATCTAGAATATAGATTAGATCTTAGATCTAGCCTAGCAGAAGGCAGAAGCACAACTGTAAAGTCAAAGTGAAAGCACTGCCGCCAGCACAGTGCCAGTGATTGAGCGAAGAGTAGAGAGAACGAGAACGGTAGGCCTACACAATAGCCTACAGTCTAATGACCAGGCTATGTGTACAGCATGAAGCAATATACAACACGTGTACGGTACAATTGGGTATTTTCTGGGAAACATTTTCAATTCAACAATCAAGAACATGGTGGGCAGTATTCGGTTTGAAAACTTACCATTACGGCAGTTGCACTGTAGGCTGACATTTTGATTTTCGCACTTTTCACTCTTCCGGTTTGTACGGTGTGTACAAAGATTTTCTCACGTGCTGTGTTTGCACTGTAGGCCTTGGCAAGCCGGGGCATCAACATTATCTCACATGAGCGTAGGTTAACATGGACAACGAAGAAATTTTAGAGCAAGCTCGAAAGCGCTATCAAGAACACGTCGCAGTGACAAGCTTGATGGGGGCGATTTAATTACCCCAATTAAATTAAGCAGATAGATAGATAGATAGATAGATAGATAGATAGATAGATAGATAGATAGATAGATCAGACAGATAGATAGATAGATGGATAGATAGATTATAGGCCTACATATATACATACATAGATAGATGTGTGTGTGTGTGCGTGTGTGTGTGTGTGTGTGTGTATGTGTGTGTGTGTGTGTGTGTGTGTGTGTGTGCATGTGTGTGTGGGGGTTTTTTGTTTGGGAGAGGGGGTCCTGTCATTTCTTAAGGAGATCGAGGAATCGAGGCAGGCTAGCTGTTTTCTCCCTTAAAATGCGATACAACAGGAGACTACTTATAATTAAATACCTCTTTGGATAGCCTCAAAGAAAAACTAGGGCAGAAAGATTTCTTATATTTACTTTAAAATGTGTCCACAAAAGTGCGATTTGGCTATCAGCGGACGTTTCATTTACCTTTCCACGGGAGGTATACTAATGTAGGCCTTAGAATATATAGCCGCGAAGAACGGCAGTGTCCACATTAGTACGGTGGGAGACCTGCGACAGTGTATCACAATCACAGCCATGCCAAAGAAGCTTTATCATTTCTACATGTGTATTTGAAACGTCTCAAGAGAATTCAGGGCATCAAATTGCAGGACAAAATACCAGACACAGAAGATTTCAAAAGGGCGCGATGCCTAGAGTCTCATGTTTTCTAAACTCATAAAGGACTAACGAACCTCACTGGGCTGGTCACATACGAATGACCGATTTCAAAATCCCAAAGGCAGTTACACTGTATTTGTTTTTTCTGTCCTTCAGGGAAACGTGCTAAAGTTGGCGCACTGAAAGCGCTACGAAAGACACCCAGAACATAGATCTCTGAAGGAATAATAATACTTCGCCAAGGGAAAGCCTCGACCGCTCCTGACAGACCCAGTTGAAGCAACACGCAATTAAGGACCTTAAACTGTAACCTCCTTGGCCTCAAGTCATATATGAGGCTTCATAATATGAAGAAGAAAGCCGAAACCAAGAGAAAAGCCCGCGAGCTGCGCGTGGTGTATCGCCACAAATGGCTTATTGGAGCTTTTGAATTCCCAAAACAATTGGAAAACTTTAAGCTCTTCCAGAATTATTGGTTCCATGGTCGACCATGGCAGAAAGCAGTTCTCAAGCAATCACCTTAACCTTTGATTAATCCAATTCTTCTATTTTGCTTTAGATATGTGATTGACGGACCAACCATCATCATCACCATCATCATCATCATCATCATCATTATCATCATGATTGTTTTACAACAGAAAAAAATACTTGAATTGGGCTTCGTCAGGAATATATTCTGTTTCATTCAATAATCAAACAGCTTTATTTCAACTTTAACCTCGGCAAAAAATAGTATATAATAATGGTGTTCTAATAAAGTGATTATATATAACAATATCATAATACAAATAACTCACGGTCCAGGGGCTTTCGTTTGTCTAGAGGTTCATTAGGTGTTGCCTCTCATTCAATATGTCCCGGGTTCCAATCCAGATAGCGCTGGAAAAATTTTCTTCTAAAAATGCTCTCCTTTCACATCATTTTCTGCTCTCTAGCCATGTTAATATATTGTCTGCTTTCGTATCCACTTTCTGCCTCCACCCCATAGAGTGTATCCCCTTTTATGCCACACCCCCTCACATCCTTTGCCCCCTCCTACTCTTTCTGCAGCAGCTACTTGGCTGTAGGCTACTGCTAGTCTTTGGCTCCTCTGCTGTCTTTCAGCCACACCCCTGTTCAATGCGTGTCCTGCGCGCTCATAATAATATAGATATCTAATATTACCTTTAGCAGTTGCGAGCGCTGTTAAACACTTTCCCCCCCCCCCCCCCCCAACAAAAAAACCCCCCCGTTTTGGGCTAGTCTAGTTAAGAGTAAAAGAACAAGATTAGGTTTCAACGCTGAAATGTTTAGACATTTTATTTGAGAAAGGACCTGGAAAACACAATATTATTATTTTAAAAAATATTATTATTATTATTATTATTATAACGCACTATTGAATTAGGCCTAGGCCTAGGATAGACCTATTAGATGATGCGTAAAATCGTGGTAATATTCACGCTGCTGCGTCCTCTCTTAGTCTCTTCTGCATTTCCGGTTTTCATTACATGACGTTGCAAATTTCAACATGGCGGCACTCTTTGGCAACAGCGCTGTCTCTCGCAGTCAAAGTAAAAATTTAGTTGAATTCAAGGCTGGCAAAATGCATATGAAGGGGAAAATGGTTCACCCCGACAAGCGAAAGGGATTGGTTTATGTGTACCAGTCAGACGATTCTCTAATGCATTTCTGTTGGAAGGATCGCTCCAACGCCACTGTTGAAGACGTAAGTTTGTGATTCACCAATTCAATGATTCAATGCCAAATCGTCATGTCATTCATCTTGTCATTTTTCTCAATGATCAATGTTTCTCTAAAAATACAGGTAAGATTGTACTTAACCAGACCACCAGTCGAAACTACTTTCACTATGGGGCCCCTGATGCCTAGATCTAGTGGTCCGCTATTCTTCCTTTCACAAATTCAAATTCAGGGCTCCCCTACTGAACTCTCTGTTATTCTTGTCCTGCGTCTGTGCCGAGATGCGAATCTTATCAGCAACCAATTACGTCGGACGTGCCGGAGTCACTTAGTGTACACTGTTGGTGTACAGCACGCGCGCCGGGAAACGTGTGATTTCGCCATGAATACCGTGGGAGTGTGTTAGTCCAGAGAAAGTGGCTATTCTCACCCGCCCGGAAGTTCTCGCAAGATCAACTGACAACTCCTCCCCTCTTCTCTCTCTCTCCGTCTCTTTCTGAATACTGTCTATCGGTGTGGACGATCAAATTGACCAAAACAAAGTTAAAAAATGATGTTAAAACACAAAAGTAAATAAATTTGGTTGTCTACAAAGATGCTACGGCTATTTAACTTTTCGAATCGAGCCGAACTACGCGGGTCGCCATTTTGTTTTGCCCGGAAATTCTCGCGCTACTCCTCTCTCTCTTTCTCTCTCTCTCTCTCCACTGCCCACAGACAAAATTGTACGCTTTTAGTAGGCTACAATTGTAATGGAACGTTTGTTCACGGCACAGAATTCTACAATTTTTCTGTTATCACAGTGTAGAATTCTGTGGTTTAGGGTGAACGCAAAATTTGGTGAACGCGCACCGGGTGAGAATAGCCACAAGACTCGCCTGCACTATTCTCACTCCGGGTGAGAATAGAGGTGGCCTAGTCCAGACCTGCCACTCATCCCGATTTAGGTGCTTTTTCGGTAGTTCCCACCCCCCTTATACTTATTTGAGCCTGACCTACATCTAGATCTAGATCTCTATACGTTTGATTCGCGGTGAGCTAAGATATCAAACCTAACAACTGCAAAACATTAAATTATGGTAAAATTCAGGGGGGCATGCCCCCCTGAAACCCCCCTTCCTATTTTTGTTAGGTCAGGGGGGCAAGCCCCCCTGAAGAAACCCCCCTACTCTTATGACTTATGGCCTAAACCCATGAATAAAATTGCGGGGTGGGAACTACCGAAAAAACGCCCCGATTTAATCGGGATATCCCGATTTTTTGCCCCAAATCTCAAGCATCCCGATTTTCCCGATTTCGATTGCTAGTATCCTGATTTTTTGTCGTTCCGTCTGTTGCGTCCGATTCTTAGAAAAAAATATAAAAAGTTCTGCAATCTCTTTTGCTTGGAAGCACTGATTGGACTTTTTATCGGCAGGAACTTGGAACGCTATTTTCTAAAGCATCTATGCCGAATTCTAGTAGTTGACTCACGCACGTTATTTCAACTAAAATTGATGTAGTATCGATTTTGAATTCCGACATGGATACGCTCAAGATGTATTTTCGCTTTTATAACCCAGAATTCTCCGATGGTGTCCTGATTACTGTATGACATGGGCCTAAGAATAGTCTATTTGTTGTTCTGCCGTTGGTTTAAAAGCAAGCTTCGTCTTGAGTTCTGGTTAGTCGGGCCCATCATTAAGACCCGTCAGTGGAACTTTCAAACGCTCATTCGCATCACGTGATATGACTTTGTACGTGTGAGTACGGGGTCAGCAAAGTTCATTCACACCGGTCGCATTGGTCGGGGTGTTTTTCGGGATTTAACCAGGACGACCGGGGGGAGCGGGTGGGGGTATTGTTTTGACACTTGGGCTTAAAGTGCGTGCCGTGATACAAGTAGAACCTACTAATTGAGGATAAAGGAATATAAGAAGAAAAAAATAAATGAACAACCTTGGCGCGATCTTTTTTTCGGAGGGGGGGGGGGGGGGGGGTGCCTTGAGTGTATTTTGCGATGGAAGTCAAACATTGTTACTGTATGAAAACACGGGCTTTTTGCGTGGATGATTAGAGTTATGTGTCAGCTATTTTCAAGACAATGAGAGTTTCAGCTTTACTGCAACCTGCGCTCCCCCACTCTATCCCACTCCGACTCGAGTAATGCTGTCTTTCAGTTTTCCCTCTATTTAGTGGCCCAAACGTGAACTTATTCTCCTGCAAAAGTTTTCTCTTGCTCACTTTCCTTATAAAAGGGAACCAGGATCCCCCTTCCCCAGTACCCCTTATATGACTGATTTGCCGTTGATCCCGATTTTTTTCACCAGATCCTGATTTTTTTGCTCTAACATCCTGATTTTTGGATTTCATAGAGGGACAGGTCTGGTTAGTCGATGATGAAAATAACGCTCTATCTTTCATAGCTTTCTATTAATAAAGTGTTACAAACACACATGAATAACCCCCTCTCACAAGCTGATAAGACATTACGAGTAGTTG